CCAGTGGTAAGTTCATCATAGAGCACAATCTTAGGGAGGCGGCGGTCCTTCATCCTGGAGACATGCCCTGCCCATCACAGCTGTGTTCTCAGCAACATGGTCACAATACTTGTGACTGCTGCTTGTTCTAGAACAGACACGTTAGTCACGTAATCAGTCCAGTGGATGTTTAGGATTGTACGGAGGCAGCGCTGATGGGAGTGTTTTAAGAGTTCCAAGTGGTGGCAGTAAATGACCCATGATTCAGATCCATATCAAAGAGTAGACAGTACAATGGCTCTGTAAACACTAATCTTTGTGCTTTCTTCAGGTGTTTATTACACCAAACTCTTTTATGGAGTTTTCCAAAAGCTCTATACACCTTTGCTAACCTGTTGTCAATCTTGCCATCCAAGGAGATGATGCTTCCCAGATAATTAAACTGTTGGACTGATTTGAGCTCTGATTTGCCAATGATGATGTGGGGATGATGGAAGACTTCCTGAGGTGCAGGTTGGTTATTTGAACAGTCTGATTTATCTCCTTTCTTCTTATACAAAGTGATGATGACTGCATCATGAAGATCTGATGGTAGTTCACCTAGTTCCCAACAACACACCACAAACTTGTGAAATTTAGAATGGAGTGCTTGGCCTTCATGCTTCCAGACTGCAAGTGGAATTCCATCAACCCCAGCTGCCTTGCCAGCTTTCATCTGCTGTATGTCCTTAAGAATTTCTCCCATAGTAGGGGCAATACCCAATTCATTTTTCACCGGTTGTTGTGTAATGTACTGAATTGCTGAGCCTTGAACTACATGGTTGGTACTGAAAAGAGTCTGAAAATATTCAGACCATCGATTCAGAATAGAAATTTTATCTGTGAGAAGCATTTGACCATCTGCACTGAGTAAAGGTCTTTGAACCTGGTGTGTAGGTCTGTAGACTGCTTTCAAAGCCTCATAGAATCCCCTGTAATCACCTGAATCTGCGCATAATTGAATCTTTTCTGCTAGATTGATCCACCACTTGTTCTGGATGTCTCGAAGTTTCTGTTGGAGCTTACTGCATGCAAGACAAAAGGCTGCTTTTCTTACATAACAGGATGGCTGAGCAAGGTGCACTTGGTAGGCAGTTCTCTTCTTTACCAACAATTCCTGGATCTCTTCATTGTTTTCATCAAATCAGTCCTTGTTTTCCTTGAAAGAGAACCCTACGGATTCTTCAGAGGACTGCAGGATGCTACTTTTAATATGTTGCCAAAGCGCTTCGGGAGAGGGATCTATGGAATGATCTTCGAGTCCAGTTTGAAGATTTACCTGGAAGCTGTCTCTCACTGTAGCTGTTTGAAGATTGTTAACTTGGAGTCTCCTCCTTGGAATACTGCCCCTTTTATAGGTTTGAACTTAAGGTGGAAGTTAAGTTTACGTCGCACAAGGCGATGATCTGTTTGACATTCTGCATCACTTGGGTATGACGAACATCGCGAACATCTCTGTGTTGCACCTCACATCCTCAAAATACCTCCAAGGATGGTGATTCAGCCACTTCCCTGGGCAGACTGTTCCAATACTTGACAATCCTTTGAAGCAATTTTTCCTAATATCTAATCTAAACCTCCCCTGGTGTGACTTGAGGCCTTGTCCTATTGCTTGTTACCTGGGAGAACAGACCAACCTTCACTTGGCTACAGCTTCCTTTCTGGGAGCTGTAGAGGTTTCCCTCTGAGCCTCCTTTTCTCCAGGCTAAACAACCCCAGTTCCGTCAGATGCTCCTCACAGGATTTGTTCTCTGTATCAATATTGTGTTAAACAATACAGAATGTCTTTTTCATCTTCCTTACTTGTAAAAACCTCAAGAATGCATATCTAAGTCGAAGTGTGCTACAAAAAACCTTATACTTTACCATGTGTATGTTTATGCATAGCAGTACACTTAAACAATTATATACTTACACTTAAAAAAACAACTGATTTTTTAAAACCATATGAGTCATGTTTTGGTACAATCAATATTCACAGCAATTTCAGGGAAAATGAAAGTTCAGTGGACATTGGTGAGATACTGAGGGTATAACATGATTTTAAAGTCTCAGTGGACTTTCATCAAATGTGAAAGACAGCTTAAGCCCAAATGTCATACAATTTCAAAAGGGTTGCAGAGTTTCATAAGGAATTGCTTCAGCTCCTGATTAGATTTACAAAACACAATACTTGGCATTATGATGTGTATGAAATGAGCCCCTTGATATAATCTTCAGTCACAGACCTCAACTGCATTACTCTTTTAAATTTACAAACACATGTGATTTTATAGTTACAGTTCTCAGCATTTTAAAGTCAAGAAGATCCTTTCCACTATGATGTTATCTGTCAGTAATCTATTTCAGCCACCTGCTTCACTTAGGAAGATACCAGTATGTGAATGGCCCTCCTATACATCTTATTTTACACATAAAGAGTGATAACTGAAATCAGAATGTAGCCCCATAACATTCTTTTTCATCTTTGCACATATATTTCCTTTGAAGCAGTTAACAGTGTAATTGTTTCTTCTATTTGGAATGTTTCACTCTAGCTAAAACCTTCATTAACAATTCTGATGGCAGTCCTAGGAGGTGGGTTTTTTAAAAGAAACTATACCAACAGTTAGCTTCATTCTTTTAATATCTAAATAAATCAACCAAACTCTGAAAAAGGTTCTCTTGAACACAGATTAAGATGGAAGTTTCTGTTCTGCAAAAACCTGCATTATAAGTAGTGTACGCTTTAAATAATCTGCTGTAAATAGATTTTTTTTCCCAGAATCCTGACTTAGGAGCACGACATTTTGTAAATTTTTAAGAAAAGGCTGAATAAACAAATACTGAACTCTAAAGGGAACAAATCAAAGAGCTATATGCAACAATTCAGTGATGGCAAAACACCACTATTTGAAATTAGTTATACTGCGTATAAAAAGTATAAAAAGCATCAAGCAGTTAATAGATTAATGTGGTACATTATAAAAAAAATTCAATTTCAGTATTAAACAGTTACTGACCTGGAAAATAAGGCAATGAAAAATACCTGTTTGCTAATAGAAACTGAAGTTCTTTATGTTACCTTCAAAAGAAAATAAAATACCTTTCCCATGTAACACTGTCATATCCTCAAATTTTGAGCAGTTCTGCAGGATGTAGCCTACCCATTATATCAAACCTAACACATATAGTGTCAACAAATTGCGAAATGAGAATTATAATACAAGCCAGTTTTTCAGAGGCACAGCATTTTCAACACCAAGATGTGTATATTGAACTTTCTATCAATGTTATTTACGATAATACAGTCATACTATAATCACTATAAGCACACCTACTCCTCATATTCCTTTATACTGCGTTTTTGGTTCCAGATACCTTCAGGGATTCAAGTGTCTGGAAAGAAAGACCTATACCTATAAAATGTTATCTATTGGATACATTTTTCTCAGTATCTCCACAAAAGTTAACAAAAGATTCTATCCTGTACGTGGCAAATAATGACGCAAATAACAGAACACACACACATTCAGCTATTGTACCTTCCAGATGCCACAGAATCCTAGAGGAGCCCTGTGGTTTTCACCACCACAAGACACCCTTTCACCTTTCTTTTTATGTTACATTGATAAAGTCAGAAAGATTTGTAAATTGAAGAAGAAAATAAGGAGGTAACACAGCTAGAGACTAATTATGGCCTCCACCGAAATCCATGGATTAATTCTGGAAATAACAACAGATTCTATGAAGACTGCAAGCCCACAGTCACAAACACTGTGACTTTTCAAACACAAAGAACTAATTGACCCACTGTGACACCTGAGTGATCCAGCCCATTATTTCTTCTTTCTTGTAAAACAAATGCACATATCAAACTTAAAACTACTAAAAAAGAAAAGGTATTAATTTATGTAATTTATGTATTAATTCACAATTAATTAAGTAGAATAAAAACTTTTTTACGATGAGCACAGTCAAGCACTGGAACAGGAAGAGATGTAGAATCTCCACCTCTAAATATGGTCAAAATCCATTCACAACCACCTGCTATAGTTGATTTTTTTGAGCAACGGGTTGAGCTAGGTATTTCCAGCACTCCTCTCCAATCTCAGCTATTCTGTGGTTCTATGAAAACTATAGTAAGGAAGCAACAGAAATATATACAGAAAAAAAGAGTACCATGTGTTTTCTTGATTTTTAGATTAAAGTCCAACCTGAAAAAAAATATTTTTTCCAGAATTTGTAAACATAAGAATGCTGCCCTATTCAGAAGTTACAGATTTCCCATGCTGTGATCCCACATAGAGTTCCATACAGCAAAAGTTGGGAAAAAAAATACTTAAATTCATGACTACTTTTTAAGCATCTTACACTGAAAGATTGAAAAATGGTAGAAAAGAGACTATTAATTCATTTTCTTCAACAATGTCCCTCCTTTCAGACTAGTGTTTCCAGGAAAGGGACGAAGCAGTGAGCATCAAGCCTTCTACAGTACAATTTAAGATACAATACAGTCTAGTGGAAATTTACAATCAGATCCTCTGAAGAGGTTACAAATTCACATTGCATAAGCTATTTGTAGCTCTTTAGTCTCAAATAAAATCCACTGAGGTTAAAACTCCGATAGCTAAGAAAAAGAAGACCCAGATGAAAGACAGTGAAGCCGATTCTTTTCTTTCTACATAAATACATGCAGAACCTGCAATTGTAGGAAACCAAATTAATTACTTTAAGCACCTAAAGCTTTTGACATTTCATGGGATTTTGATGCAGTTGGCAGTTTATTCACATATATTTATTGTCTTCATTACATTTCTTCTGAAAGTTTTAAGCTAAAACTTATGAACCTTCACACAGCTGCTAGATACTTCAGCTTCAAATATAGAGAGCAGTTTCAATAGAAAGACTACAGAGAGATTATAGAGAGACTAATCTATGTTTGATTGTGTATTACACTTATAATAAAAAATCAGAAAATACACATAATTTTTTGCAGTTACCCAGTAGTTCCATTGCATCATCTTCATTGTCAATATCTTCTTCGGTTACAGATGGAGCTGTGCTTTGAGCAGAATCAAAGGAGTCCTGAGAAAGCATGGCAGCCAGCAGTTTCTTATGTTGCTGCTGTTGATGTTTCAGTCCTTTGGTCTTTGGCTCCATTTTTAAGCTGTGAGAGAGGAAAGCACAACTTTCTCTTACTAATGCTCTCTTCAAAATTTGTCACAATTTTGTCAAATTACTTTAGTCCATGATGTCTTCCAGATCTGAAGGTTAACAGATAAGGATAAACCAACTGGTTATCACTCATTCCCCAGTCATTGGATGTTCTAAGTCAGTTTGTGTTTGCAGTTCCTTTTTAAAGTCTTGATTGAATTTGGTAGATTTCCCATTGACTTTATGGGCGTTAATCAGGTCTAAATAAGCTACATATATAGAGCAACATGACATCAATTACTAATCAGTATTGCTAAGGCACAGATCGCATAGCAACAAAGTTGACAACAAAGAACTTCTCCCTTGAGTGGTTATGTTACCATAACCCCACAGAATTAACAGTTCTCATAATTTGCTGAGTTGTATCCCTAACCTAAATAACAGAGAACTGGAAACACACAGAAGTTAGCAGAACAGTCTAAGGCAGGACTTGCTACCATTTGCCATTTCTGATTTCTTACAATATAAAAACAACAAACAGAAATTTGGTGCTCCACATGAGAGTATCAACACCACCTCAGATTGTTCTCATAGTCTGTTGCAGGAAGGCCCATTTGTAGCCAACATATGAAATTTAGTATAATCAACAATAGTTCATTTCCCCAGCAAAGATAAACACTAATAAGACAAAGTGGACCTTGGAGATGAAGAATGGCCTTTGAGTTTAGGACATCAGGTTATGAATGGGGCCTCTGCAAGCTCTAGTTCATTTCAGGCTCTAAGAGAAAAGAGTATCATATTAAAAACCACTCAAATTCCCCACTGTGTGCATACATTATCCCTTGAGGAAGATTCCCAAGAGCCTTGTGTCTTCTCAGAATTCCTCCAAAAAATTTTTCATGTAGAAAACTACCAACTGTGACTTGAAAATTAGTTTAATCCTATTTTCACGGTGTTCGAATTTCTGAAACATGAGCTCAGTACCAGCAGGATTGCCATCAGCGCTTTTCCATGGTCTCTTATCACTTACTAATACCTTGCCTTGCTTCCTTACAGGAGCAACAGAGAGCAGTACAAAACCAGGTACAAGCACACTCTTTCCTCTGTAGCAATCCTAATATGGCAACTCAGACTGGTCACACTGTCTTTTCCAGGCAAAACATTAGTGACATCTGTCCTTCCAGTTGCTCCTTTTTTTTATTTCTTTTCTTGAGTAACTGAACCTGGCTTTCAAATAAACAACATGTCTGCTTCTGTTGTTCATCATCACAGGAATGTATATTTTTACAGAGGAAATAGTGGTTCTTTCCTACTGTGCAAAAAACGAGGATCATGGTTGCAAAGACAGAAAATCAGACAACTTACAGATTCCCAAATATTACATACTATGTATATTCGCTATGATCCGCTTTATGCTGAAAAGACGAATACTGTAAATGAGCATGTTATCAACATGTTATCAACAGATCCATAGGAATATGCTGCTTCCTGCAGTCCATTCCATCCTTTACAGAATGTAACGAATGTGTAAAGACCCAGGGTTTCCCCAAAAAGCTTGTACTCTATGGTCTGTGAAAACAACATGTGAGTCACATGACACTGATGGCAGTTACTTGACCAGTGATCTGCCAATGCCTAATCCTCTGGATATTTACATAATGTTTTATTTTTGTAGTATTTCCTTACGTTTAGTGAAAGGTAAGAGAAAACACTATCTGGAAATAATGGGACAATTTCAGTTTTCACTGTCTTGTTCTTATATTTTAACTGATTATTAGGATTAGTTTAAAGAATTTGCTGGCATATCACATAAATCTTGATAAATAGTGATCCTTAAACTATCACTTTTTATTTAAAGTGTTGCTACATAAAATTTAACAAGACATAATTGGAAACATTTAATGTGAATTTCCAATTGCTCCTCCTTTCATTTGCCAGGTAAAAGTATAAATGAGTTATTTTAGGCTACATTAACTGTTAAGTGGTGAATGAAATACAGACGAGGTAGCCAAAAATTCTTTACAACTGACAACTTCACTCATTTGAGAGTTTCACTTAATCTTGTAAAATTTATACTCTTCCCACTATTTTTGAATGTTACATTAAAATGAAGTTATTGTTATCTAATACTTGTCTCACACATTTGGTATACGCTCAATTCTGAATTCTGCTAACAGCACTTTAATTCACAGGAATACTGCATCAGACCTTGAAGCAACTGCCAGTTATTAGTGAACTATTGTTAAATATTCAGATTAACCTTGATCAAGACAGGTCTTTTAAACTTCCATATATAGTTGCCATCAATCTTAGCAGCACCATTACCTTGAAGTTCTGCAACTTTATTTATTCTTTTGCAAGACTGCAAACATGTTTTTTATAAATGCCTTACAAAAGCTGATGAAATGCTAACGAACCAAGAATTATCCCAGACATAAAATCAGTCATCCAAATGTAAATCCATATGCTGTATGTAATCTAGTAGTTATTCATTTCCACTGAAAATCAGTACTCCCACGATACATATTTTTCAATAGGTCTTTAGCATTTACTGCACCTAAAAAACAGAGATATCAGTACCCCATGAGTTTTTCCTGGCATCAAGTACCCCATATTCTCCTTGTTCATATGCCAGGCAATGTGATTTTGCCATGATACTCAACAAGACTTCTCAAATGCTATTCTCAAAGCCATTAATCATATTTTTTAATTATAGCATTAGCTGTGAGGTTTCTCACATCTTGTACCATCCTCTACAAAGAGAAAAATGCGTTGCTTTGAATCATCTTTGTTACTCAGAACTAACCTCTTTGCTCCCTTCTGGAGATTAGAGAGAGATGCTTATTTCTGCTCCTTCCTATTGACAGAAAGGACACAATATTCTCAATTCTCTCTGCAATGTGGAACAGATTCGGTGTCTTTATTGGCTGCTGAATAAGGAAAAAGAAACACAGGCCTGCACAATCAAGCTGCAGCGCCCATTGCTGACTCCATTACTTTCCCAGGAATCGCACTGGAGAAACCCAGTGTCTGAGTTGTGCTGGTTCCCATCCAACATCTGGCTGAGGGATCATTACTACATGCTGCTACTTTGAAATAGTAGTACTTGCAGCTTTCCCCACAATAGTCTAATCAAAAGAAGCACTCATGGATAACAAACATTACAAACGTGAGGAAAGTTAATGAATGCAGCCTTTAAGAGTAAACCTAGTGACAGACTAGTCTCCTTCTGACAGGGAGGTAAATTCCAATGGAGAAGGCACATGGAGGACACAGTGAAGGAATACCTTAGATATTTCAAAATGAAAGCAGACAGTTTCTGCCTTCTTAAAAGAGGAAGAAAAAGGTGTCTGCTGCAGTCAGCATACTAGTTATAACCAAGGAGAAATGCTACAGGGCTGAGGGAGAAAAGTAGGTGTTTAAGCCAATTAACAGAGGCAGTGCACAAGATTTACACTTAAAAAGATAGGCATTAATTCCTTTTAAAGGAAAGCTGTGAGTATTTAACTTCTGTGATAAACCGGTATCTTTAAATTATGGAAAATGGTAATCTCTTTCATGTAGCTGAAGCACATTAACAAACAAACATACTCCTTCATTCTCAGACAAGAACAATAAATCTTTAGAAGTTATTTACTGCAGAGAACACAATTTTCTCTTTGAGAAAGACCTGTTATCCAAAATGCTAGGTATATGAAAAGAAGATAAATTCAGGAAGTCCTGATAAAAATAACATAGATACTGTTTCCCTTGTCCATCTTTTCTTTAAATGAGAAAATCAGGTTTGTCACTAAAGTGTCAAGAAGCGTAACAAATAACAACTACCAATTGTGGAAAGATGGAAGGGTTTGAAGTATCTGAACAAAGCTATACCTTGCAAAATTATTACACGCTGGACCCCAGTCATGTCAATATAACCTTAGCTTTATACATGGGAATTAATTAATGTGATTGCAAATGAGTATGAATTTAATCATATATAAAAGCATGAGAAGAAATCAGTCACATATTAATGACTTCCATTCATTCTGCATTCTGCCACACTATGACACGGGAATTGAAAAGCCCTGCACTCTGCTCCCAGAAATGGAGTTTTTGTTAAAAAGACAGCTCTGTTTCACAAAATATAATTTTTCTAGGTTGAACCAAAATCCCACCTTCCTCCAGGACTGCTGCTATCCTCACTGTCCCACTGCTCATTTTTATTTCTTGGTATTGGTGGCTGTAGCATCTCAGCAGCCAGAGGGTCTGCATCATTCTCTTCACGGCCAACCCATTCTCCAATCACACGAGGTCTGAGAAGGGGGGTGTTAAAACCTGTTGTGTCCTAAAGAGAAAAAAATAAAAATAAAAAAGCAACAACAATGCACTGTTTGTTCTTAACCATAGGTGTATATAGAGAAAGAAAAGACGAAAAAAAAATTCACTAAAAAAGTACAAGAATAGTACAGTACATTATCACTTCAGAGGGCTACAAAATATCCAGAAACAATGACAGACTAAAAGAAAGTTTCCCATTAACAAAATTCCAGGAGATATTTGTGTATCCTGATGCCTCAAATCTCTTGCATTTCTTTCTCTTCAATTGTAACTGCAGAAAAATCACTAATTTTTTTAAATAAATGCACAACTCTTTAAACATGCACTGTATCAGTTCTGCTAAGCAACACGAGGTCACTTGTATAAACAACACCCCAAACAAAAGATGTTTGTAGATTAATAACATCACTCTTATTTGCATTGTGAATTAATGCAAAACTAAAAAATACATCTGCATTTTGCATTTTAAAAATAACCCTTCTGGGCCTTACATAGTGTATCTTTCAGTTCTGAAAATGGCATTTAATAAAATGCATTTATGAAACTAGTAATCATATTTTTAACCACTTACTGGAAGACAATAAGTTGGAGAGGATTACAAGAAGCAAGAAAATGCAACTGATAGATTCAAAACAATAGGAATAATTTGCATCATTAGGAATTTAGATTACAGAAACAAATCATCCTTAAAAATTGTACCAAAAAGCATTCTAAAGAGGTAAGTATGTCTGTTCTCAATTTTACTAGAAACACTGTAGATAAAGGGTCATGTACAAAAGCACAGTCAAACTAAAAAACAGACCTGTATACCAAAAAAAAGACATGAAATTATGGGATAGGAATATTTATTTTACTTTATTCTTTTCTAGGTTAGCAAAGACATTTCAAACAAACTGTTCCTAATTAGAAGAGACATATTCTATTCCTATCATTTAACGAGAGAATATTTTAGGAAAAAAATCCGTGGCTGTTATCGACCTCAGTGCCTCAGTAAGTATTTCTGCCTTGAAACAATGCTTTCCAAACAAAAAACATCTGGAAAATGTACAGCACAGCAATTATTTAGCATAGAAACCATATTTTCTCTCCTTCCTAAAAAAGAATCACCTTTGAAGCCTCTTCCTAATTGAAACAGATACGGTAAAAGCACAGTTTGAAGTAGAGGTCTCTACTGAAATGAAAGAAACAAAAATCCAAAAAAGGCTGCAAACTACTTTTAATATGAATATATTTACCTAGCTCTGGCTAGATGCTGCAATTTTTCTGAGCAGAACTCCCAGAGCTTCTATTTTGACAGAACCAAATGCGACCCAGGCCCTGGATCCAATTCACTCAACCTTGTTGTTTTGTTCTGCTTTCTGCAATGTGCCTGTGAGTGCATTACCACATTCCTCTCTACAGAGTTGTCCATCATTTGACTAATTCACTTTTACATGATGTCTGTTTTCTGCAAGGACCACTGAAAATTGAATACAGACCATACAGTAGAGAGAAACCTGAGGAAAACACCATGGCTTTGGAGATATCAGGATATCTAGCCAGTGCTGTTCTGTTCTTATGTACTTATAAATATACACTTTGTGCATTTATTTGGAGCTGTGTCATAGTCAGGTCAGGTAGACTACATTACAGTCACCTTTGGGCTCTTGAGAAGCATAAACTGTCACTGGTGTGACTACCATCATATGCTTATGAGCTTAGAAAAAGGATTGCCACAATGCCTTCATTAAGACTGCCCACAACCTTTCTGAGGTTTATTCCTTCCATTCTAGCTATTTGCTCCCTTCTCTTTCTCCCTAAGATAATTTCTAATAATGAATAAAAAATGGTTCCTGAAAGTCAGAATATCTCAGTGTCCATCTTGCTAAAAGCTTTCAGCATCTTAAGTGAAAATGAAAAGCACCTAAAAATGTATCCTTTTGTCAGCACCTTAAGTTTTTTCTGACACTGTACACTGCACCATCAAAATATGAATAAGTAAACCATGAATGCTGCGACTGTCCTTGTTATGCTAATTTCTTTCCTAGGCATTTTAGGGATTAAAGTAGCAGTTTCATACTTTACTTAATAGAAATGTAATTTACATTACATAGTCATGCTTTGCCTCACTTTATCACCTTGCTTTACTTTTTGCATCATGCTAGATTAGCATGCCACAGTTTCAGTGACCTAATTTATTGTCCTCCTTTCAACTATATAAGCAGCCACAGTGAAAACAGTAAATGGAGAATCAGACAGCTCTATTCAGAACATGAGGATGTTTATTTGACACTATTTCAAAGGCTGCAATAAATTCAGATGAAGTATTCTGTTCTCTAACAAGTTTTTATAGTTTTGGGTTGGGGTTTTTTTGGCTGGTTTCTTTTTTTTCATATAAATCTTACAATCTTAATTGATTTCCAATTATATTCCCCCATAAAAAACAAGAGATTGACAGTGACATTAGTAAGCACAGAAATATTTTCAGGACAGGTAGGTATTTAAATCTGCAATAAATGAACCGAGAGCACTATTTCATGGAGCAGCCCATGTGTTATCCTCTTATCCACATCACTGGTTACCAGTTTGACACACTCAAACTTCCTTTATGTGGAGACTAGGAAAAGAAGGGAAAGATTGCAAGACAGCTGAATCTCATCTTCACATTGGGCTGAGCTGTGGTTGCTGAATGCAACCTCTACAAGAGAGAGAAACATTTGTATATCCATTTATTTATGCATCACTTAAAAAGCTTGGTATTCCTATTTTCTGATATGGATTTTAAGGGAATTTCCATCATTAGAAATACTTTTAGGTGAGAAGAAATTTTTTTGGTTTTATGACATAAGAACAGTTGTTTCATCTATTCTATTAATCTGTGTTCACTGAAGAAATATTACATATGAGAAGAAAGTATATGCTAGACAGCACAGAATATTTTTTTAATATTAACATTGAGGGTCAAAATCTGCTATAAATTTTTTGATCTTCCCTTGAGTTTGCCTGTGGATCTCTAACACTTAGATGTCTCCCATTATTAATGTTTAAAGTGATTTAAAGACATCATTGGGTATTTGGGATAAATTTCACAATGTTATGGCAGGTCTCTCGCATCACTGTTTTTTGTGAGAATTTTTTTTCACCCTAGAATTCTGTAAATTTCAAAGAAAGGCTAACTTCCTAGCTCTACTTTTTTTACATTAAAATCTTCACATTATGCATGAAAGTGTGTAGTTTCCTAAAGTGCTTCAACAGTTTCTGTTCAGTGGTACAGAGGGCGAGTCAATTCAGAAATTTGTATTATATTAACACTGCACTTTAGTTTTAAAATATGTGAGTCACAAAGCATCCTTTCTTGTTTCCTTTCCTTACACAGCATACTTGAGTGCCAGTCTCTGATTTTACATAGCTTCTATGGCCTAAAGATGCAGGCTGAGTCAAGAGAGAGAGAACAAACACTGCAAGTCTGAAGTAACTGAGATGAAAAAGAAGGGAATATATACAATAAATCTGTTTTAAATGCAGTCATTATAGGATTTTTTTTTTCAAGATTACTAGTGGACTCATGAGTTTTATGAGACTAAGTCAAACTGAAAGATTCCATTTTGAGTGAAAGACTGACCTTGTCGCAAACTGGTTTTCCAAATCCAAATGCTCAATTAACTAAGCAACTAACTAACTAATTGGATTACTTGGAGGAGGACTTATATCAACCAACAATACTGATTAAGTATTCCTCTGATGAAGGCAGCTGCGTTACTAAAGCCACAAAGAAGTAATTTAAAAAAATACACAGTGAGGAAAAAAAATAGAGGAATATACAAATATATTCTCTGTTTTTTCCAGGTTCATAATTTAAACCACAGATAAAGCATCAGGATTATGGGCTCTGTCCTAGTCCCTAGATATTCCAGATCGTCAGGAAAATAAAGCGAGGAAGAGCGTATAGAAGTTTATTGCTGCGTTTAGTTTTTTGTCTCTCATAACACCTATGCAATGTCAATGTTTTAACAGAATCCAATGCCAAGTTTGGCCATGCTACTCTAGACCCATGACATGCACCTGAGGGGTTAAATGGTTAATCCAAACCACAGATGAATGTGGTTTCAAAAAATTATTCAATGCTGCCACAGCCTAGACAAAAAGTTCTAGTATCAGCATTTATTTCTGGGATAGGAATTACAACTTGGCTACATTTATATCTGAAAAATAAACATCACCTGTGAACACATTCAGAAGAAATAAAACCACATTCTCTTTAACTTTAAAACAACCATTATCAGGTAGTCTTTGGCTGCTTTTGGTTCACGCCAAGTAATACATGCAGAAACAAGTCACAGGAACATTTCAGGAATTAGCTTCCTAGGAATCATTCCTAGGAGGCAGGACTCCACAAAATGGTCCTAGCTATGATTATATTCTTAAAACAGAACTAGATTTTATGTTCATTAAAAATCCCTAAGGGTCCAAACAAGAAATAAAAATGAAGATCACTAAAGCCTGTGGAGACGAAAAATCACTCTTCTTCTCTAAGTCTGTGCTGAAAGCCTGTTGAGCAAAGCTGCACAAATGACACATGTCAAGAGCTTAATTGTTTGGGGGTTCATTTATTTTACAAATAGCTTCTGACTTCAAAAACATTCTATTTACCTGTCCTCATCAGAAACATACATTAAAGCAGATGCAGTATTCCAAAGGTGTCAGGTAATGCATGCTATTGAATGTACATACCGTAATTCCAAGTTTTGTTTCAAAAATTCAGAAATACCCAAAAGTACTTCTCACGATGGAAGGTCCCTCAAAATCCATATTAGAAAATAGGAATACCAAGCTTTTTAAAATTATGCATAAATAAATGGATATACCTTTCAATTTTAAATTATAAACAATTAAGTATACAGTAACCAAAAAAAAATTATCTCTTTGCTCAATGTGGATCCTGAGGAAAGCCCCAAATTATGTTCCCCCTCTCAGTTTTCACACAGAATAATTAAATATAAAAACTATTAATGCTTTTGAGCAGTATTATAGTTAAAAAAATTAACAGAAATTACCTCCAAAAAATAGATGTAAAAAGTGGTGATAACAGGCTCTAGCCCAAAATGTCTTTTCCTTCCACAAGCAGTATTTTATAGGTTTTTTTCAACAAACAAAATTAAATTGAGTTCTTCATAAGTATTCTTAAAGGTAAGGGTTCTAATGGAAGGGCTTTCCAATCACTTTTATCATCACTTCTGAACACAGTTAAGAAAATAGTAGGAAAGAAGACTAAAGCCATAGTTTTGAAAAGGCAGCCTCATATGCTCATGACTACATGGTAACAGTGATCAGTCTTGTCTAACTGGCCTTCCTTGGAGAATGCAGTGGAGGTATTTTATATGCACTTGTGTCAGAAAGATTTGTGTCCTCATTTTACCAGCAGAAAGGAAAAATATTTTTTTAAAAAATGTGTTCTATATTAAGCATTATTCCTGTGTCTTATGTACCTTTTGATCTCATTTCCCTGACAACAATTGTTTCAGACACCAAGAACACAACCCAAGATTCTTGGCACTTGAAGCAGGTGAGAATAGAGAAGATAAAGGTGCTCTGTTTCCTCTGGTAATTTGAAAAATTAGTTTGATTACTCTTTCAATGTAGTTTATTACAGCTAAAACTAAAATTCATATTAACTGTGTAATGTATCAAAAGGGACTGAGGAGATCATTGTTTGTTGCATCCAACAAGGAGGTAAAGACTGATTTTTATGCCCTGTGCATTCCTGATCAAATCTAGAAACAAAAATAATTCCTAAATATTTTCACAAATCATATCTGGGAATGCAGGATTCATGACTTCATGAATAAAAGGTATTTAAGGCTAAATGTTTCCAAAAGTACAAAAAGTAACCCAACAGACTGTACTAAGCAAAGATGGTGTCATGATTAAAAAGTATTTCCATGGCCTCATTGAGAGTCTCAAACTCTGTGAGAGTTTTTTTCCGTACTTGACAGCCCTTTCCAGTCAAGCTCTTGATGGATCCACATATACTCTACTTACACAGCTTTCCACACCTAAACTTCCTCTGAACCCAACAGAACTGAAGTCTGTATGCTAGGACAGGGAGATGCAGCTCTCATTGCCTAAAATTATCACAATCATGTGTCTCTTTGTACTGTTCATTAGGTATACCTTATCAATCTTACCTTCTCAAGTTCATCAGAAACAGCAATGCCTGAAAATGAAACAGATTGGAAAAAAAAAATTTAGAAACATGCTTTCTACAATGTCTTCTACTACAGTAAGGAAAAGTAAGGTTTAATCTGAAAAGTTTACATATTGTTCTCTGCATGCTGCTGTACCATACAGTGTGTCATATTTAGTTCCACTAGTGAACTTGCCTGGAAATAACATACTTTTATATCAGCTGCAATATTACCAAAATGAGTTTTTAAAAACCTACGGAAATGAAAATAGCAGATGTACCAGTAAAGTGACAAGAAGGTTAAGTGCAATTCTACCTGCTTTCTGAAACTAAATTAGCAACATTGTATTTACCAATGGACACCTTATTACACAAATCTCACCCTGACCAGCATGCATAACACATCTTGCTGCAACTAGAGGGCAATATGGACATGACTCTTTTATCTTTCTCCGTAGTACAATGTAGAAATGATTCTATAAAAACAGGTGAAACTTTGGAACATAAAGTAAAATTTCCCAACAGAATCCAAAACAATTTTTCTAAATCCTCTGAAAAAGAACTTGTATATTTGCTCCTCTCCTTTCTGCTGATACCTGCCCATGTCTTTCCTAGAATTTCTTCCACTATGTCATCTAACTCTTTTAAGTATGATAATCCTGTAGAACATTAAATATACGCAGCTAGTCTCAGAATTTTTAACAGGCCTGCACACATCATATCACAAGTAGTTATCAAGTAATTATACATTTAATGCTATCATGTTGAAAATTCAGATACATTGAAAACAGAGCATTTCCCAGATTCCTACGAGGTTCGATAAGAAACATTTCCAGGTTAGAGCTTCAAAAACCAAGGACAAGTTTCTCCTGGTGGTGAAACTAAAGTGGAGACATATCCATGCATAGGAAGATCACACACTTCAATGTTACATATAAGCACATAAAACTGAAAAACGTCTATACTTTAAATGAGTGCTTTTTGTAAAATGCTTTTTGTTTGTATGTGTTGTAAATCACATTGCTTGCCAGAACTTATTTTGAATTTAGACAAGACTAAGCTGAGTAATTGAATTGACCAGAATGGCTCAAATTTCTTCTTTACTAGATAGGAAACAGTAGCAAGACGCCAAAATTAATTGTATTTCTTAGACAAGCATGCAGAGAGTTAGCAGTTTCTGAAGACACGTTGCCAAAATAAAATTTTACAAGTTTAGAAAACTTTTATTTTTGCAATCATGGAATTAAACCTGCAAACTATTTTTAGCTATCTCTCTCTAATGGGTCATCAAGAGGGAATAAAAAGGATTCTGGGCAAGAAATTTTATCAGGAGCTTATTACAGCAGTCTTGGCATGGTGAGTCTTCTGGAGGTGGTATTTACCATACTGTCAGCCACACAGATCTTTCTGTTATGTCTTGAGCCTCATTATTATTAACAGTACTCTTTTAGTCACTGATAACACAACTTCATTAGCAGAGACCAGGATAAATAACCCATAAAACGCTGGGTGTAAAAATGCTTCTTATTTCCTTCCAAGACTCTACTGCACCACACAGTTAGTGTGTGCCCATCTCTTACCAATTTTTTTTGTAGTTGCCAAACTCACAGGATATCATGGTTGAACTTGAGAGGAGGGGGGATTTGCAGTGTGCAGTAGACAGAAAATCACAAGAGTGAGGTAATTTTTTTGGTTGCAGATCTCAAGTGGAATAATATGGACTCCAATTTTCAGAAAGTTGCTCCTCAAAAAATTCAAACCCTTGTGTATTTAGGATAACATTAAAAAAAACAAAACCAAAAAAACCCCACAACCACTAAACCCTTAATCCAGAATGCTGAGATTGCAACTAGAGATATTGTCATTGTTATTATACAGGATTATTTAGGATTTTTGTTAATTTCTTAGCCCTTTGCAGACTCCTGACTTTTCAGTAGTCAAATAGTTTACTGTCAGTTACTTTACTTTCAAGTAATATACTGACAATTTAAAATAGTTAAATTTCTAGAAAGTATTAAAATAGTTCAATTTCTAAAAAGCAATGCTAGTGATGGTTGATATCTCTGGTTCCTGTAATTGCTAGTATCCAGACATCAGCACTTTTCAAAAAGAAACCCCTCTTGTCGCTTATTTGTGACAAGTATCTGATTTTGCTTTCTGTACTTCATATAGTTATCTTCAGCTTTTTGTCTGTGGCTTTCATACAACACAACAGAGAAAATAGAAATTTTATTTTTATATACTCTAAATAAGAAAATGTCATTGTAAAATCACCGAATACTAGAGACAAAGGGACAGCCCATTCCATGAAACTACTCTAAATGGAAACAGTAATGGAAACAGTTTCAGACAAAACATTCACAGGTGTAGCCAAAATGTCTATAAACTAAAAATTTTTAACCCAACAGTTTAGTCAATTCTTCAAACTGTAACTCTTTTCCATCAAAACTTAATCCTAATCACCAAAAAACTCTAACACCAGAAAAACGGACACATCTAGTTTATTCAACCTTAAATCCAATGGGCTTTGTTAGAATATATGTATGTTACTATGAACAACTATTTCTGACTTTTCTCAGTTTAGAGCATTTAAAGCCTGACTCTGCACAATGATGAATGTAGAGAATGGAAGTTTTAAGGGTGTGTCATCATTGCTTTGGCTCAAGACACTGAGCAGTAGATAAGAAGGGGACTGTTAAAAATATTCTCCTTCCTTTGTTGGGAAAGGTCTTCTGATGTCAAAGGCATATCCACCAGAAATAAAGGAGTAATAAAGGAGCTTCATGCTTTCTCTTATAGCAGCTGTTTCTCACAGACAACATTTGCCATAGTTTCATATCATACTATGACTGAAAACTATACACTCCTACCACTCTTACTAACCATTCCAAATAAAGGGGTCAGAAGTTTGCTTCCCACCATCAGCTAAGGCTCATGGATGAGGTTTACAGTGGGAATTAGGTAGCCAGTTGCCAATTTTATGTCTTTAAAAAATCCTTCCTTTTAAAAGGGTGCCGAAATTTGATCAGGCATCACAACTATCTAGCCCACTCAGCTGTCTGCTGAATCACACAGACAGATTCAGGGCACTTGTTTCTACTTTTGAGTGTAATGACCCTCTATGCTGGAAGAGTGCTGGAACAATGAAATAATTGGTCTGAATGTGCTTCCACGGTCCTTCAGAAATGCTCCAGAGCCACAGCTATCTCTGATCAGCAACAAACCTAGAGAGGGGCTATTGATGGTAGCACAGATTCTCTCAAATGGAACATCATTCTGTCACTACCTTGGTTTTTGAAGGGAACTGGAAAAACAATGTACTCTCTGATTGCAAGAAAGGTCTGGCACACTAGGATTAAATGAAACGTGATTAACAATGTAATAAGAATGTAATTTATTAATACTTATTATATTTTAGGTAGTATTATTATGCTTTTTTTAAATTAGCATGGATTATTAAAACCATTCTTTACATAGTTATCTTAGATTTCTCTTCCCAGTCTCCTATCACTATGGCAATCTGCAGCAGCACAATGGTAAGAATGAAGAAATAAATATAATAAATATATAGTGTCTTCTTTGATGTAAAAGCCACCTCTCAAAATACCTACACTATGTTTTAAGAAAATAAAATCCCTTTTGAGTCTAGAACGAGTATCTTCCACAGTACAGAACTTCTGCTTAGGATATTCTGCTTCATTTCTAGTTTATCAAAAGAACTTTCTTTCTAAAGAAAAATGAACATTGTTAATAACAATTCCATGAGTCTTAAAGGTGCCTAGCTCTTGCATATGCAGTTCTTAGCAGAAGAGTTTTATTTGTTATTGCTCTCCTGCAACAAATACAATTAATCCAGTTCTTAAAGCATCTCCACTCAGTGGTATTATTTCTCTTTGAAAAGCAATTTTTAGACTTTGATGTTCTCAATCCAACAGTATAACATTTATTTTCAAAACAGAGGGCACCACACCAGGTCTTTTTGAAATAGAGCAACTGATGTCACCTACCAGGACCTGTGCAGCGCATTTGACATGATCCCACACAACATTCTTGTCTCTGATCTGGAGAGACATGGATTTAATGGGTGGATCATTCAGTGGATAGCGATGTGTCACACTTGAACTGCGTTCAATGGCTCAATGGCCAAGTGGAAATCAGTGGTGAGTGGCATTCCTCAGGGGACAGTATTGTGACTGGTGCTGTTTAATATCTCTGTTAGTAACATGGACAGCGGGATCAAGCGCACCCTCAGCAAGTTTGCTGCCAACACCAAGCTGTGTGGTGCAATTGACACGCTGGAGGGAAGGGATGCCATCCAGAGGAACTTCGACAGGCTTGAGAGGTGAGGGAGGCTGTGTGAACCTCATAAAGTTCAACAAAGCCAAGTGCGAGTTGCTGCAGCTGGTTCGGAGCACTTCCAAGGACAAGTATGGGCTGGGCAGAGAATGGATTGAGAGCAGCCCTGGGTAGAAGGACTTCTGAGTGTTGGTGGATGAGAAGCTTGACCTGACCCAGTAAAGTGTGCTCATAGTCCAGAAAGCCAACTGTGTCCTGGGCTGCATCAAAAGCAGTGTGGCCAACAGGTCAAGGGAGGTGATTCTCCCCCTCTACTCCGCTCTTATGAGACCCAGTCTGGAGTACTTTTGTCCAGGTCTGGGGCACTCAACACAAGAAGGACAGGGACTTGTTGGAGCAAGTCTAGATGAGAGCCATGAACATGGTCAGAGGACTGGAGCACCTCTCCTATGAAGACAGGCAGAGACAGGTAAGGTTGTTCAGCATTGAGCACAGAAGGCTACAGGGAGATCTTATAGCAGCTTTTCAGTACCAAAAAAGGGCCTACAAAAAGCTGGACAGGGACATTTTACAAGGGCATGTAGTGATAGGACAAGGAATAATGGTTTCAAACTGAAAGAGGTTAGATTTAGATGAGATATTAGGAAGAAATTCTTTACCATGAGGGTGGTGAAACACTGGAACAGGTTGCCCAGAGAAGTTGTGGATGCTCCATTCCTGGAAGTGTTCCCAGA